TGTAAGAATCCATGATATGGTTGGTTTGTCAGAAAATGTGCTCTCAGGTCGTGCACGTCGCAGGCGTCCAAATGTTGTGAGCAAATCCATGACTTGTTCAAGAAGATGTTCTACATTTGTCAACTGCTGTTTCCTAAACGCGAAAGTGAGCGAGGGGCAGAAGGGAACATAGTTATATATTTTGTCTGTATTATTTAATGAATTAATTAATTAATTTTGGGTTTCTAGAGGACAAAGTGGGCTAAGAACGCCTACCCTAATCATCAAATAGGCCCTTCCCTCACTCTCAAGTATCTCATAACCCCCAGTCCTGTCGAAGACGCGTGGCGAATGGCCTTCATGCAAAAAATAAGTGTCCCCCGTCCCCGGCCTGGTCCGGTGAAAACCCGGCGTGCTCGATCCCGGCTCTTGTAGGGATGCGAGGTCAACGGTCTAACGACTACTGGATGCAGGGCGATGGGTACACACCCCCACCATCCCATACCCATGAATATACTAGGGAACAATATTTTGAAGCACCTTTGGCAAAGTAGGAAGGAACGATTGGCCATCGGTGATCGGCCTGTGGGGACAATGCTCCCGTCCTCTCGAGGACGCGTGGCCAATGGTCTAACCGCTAATGCATGCAAAACACAGACGGAGTACGCGCCCCCCTCTCAACAATCGCTGGTTCTTTGTTTTTGTTCGGCAGGTGGCGGAGGAGATCTGGGTTGTGGACGAGGGAAGGGTGGCCCCATGGGGAGGAGACATCCTCAGTTACAAGGCCTCTCTCAAGAAGAAGAAGAAGACGTTGGCCTAGACGGGCCGAAGAGGCGGCGCAGGCATACAGACAAGACTTGAAATGGCCGGTAGGGGTGTACGTCGTCAGCCTACGGGCTGCTCGTCTCGAAGGCAGTCTGTGGTATGCTCTTTTCGGCTGTGAGAGGGGTGTATGTTTGCCTACGGGCTGCACATGTCGTAAGCAGTTGGTGGTATGCCTTTTCCGGCTGTGGTAGGTGTCTTGAGACAGAGCTCTTGTCACACAACGGTGCTTGTGGTGCTGACGTAGATCTGGGTCTAGACCTAAGTGCTTCCAGTGTAGGGTGTCTTTTCCATGACGAGGGAACTGCTGCTGTGTGGTGACTTTTCTGTTGTGATGCCGCTGTACAAACCTGCTGGGTTCGAGTTACTCCTTACGTCAACGTTGTGCTCTGTCGCAATTGCTGCTGCTTCTGCAGGCCAGGTAGTAAAAAAAAAAAACAGAAAGCGAGCTGACGTACCGGTTCATGGTTGTGTTGCCAGTGGGATTTCATTTTTGACGGTTCGTGGGGGAGAACGGCTCCCTCAAATCGGAAGCGCCCTTCCTCGTCTTACTTCGCGGTCAGTCGGTAGGGCCTTTCCGTCCGGAATCGCTGAGAAGTTGAAGCGATCTAGAGCTGCCTCTCTTATAAACCGTCTTGCCGTGACATGCGATCTATCTGTGTGTGTTGTCTGCGCGAGCTTTAGTTGCCGCCGCCGTCGTCGTAATTTTGCATGTTTTCTCGTGCTGCACGGTACACGGTTCACCGCGTCACTTTTCAATTTTTGTTATTTTGTGTGTCAGTCGTGTCTTGCTAGTGCGCACTGCGGTTTGAGGTTGGCCCTCTTCCTTGCGGTTGGTTAGGTTCAATCGAATCTGAAAACTTGCTTCATTTTGGCCCAGTCGTGCGAAAGTAATGGATCTGACGTGCTTGATATTCCCCCCGTTGTTTCCTAGAAGGAAAACACCGCCGGGTGTTGTCAGGTTGAACAGCATGGGTCGTGTTGAAGCAGGCGTGTTCGACACAGCAGGCGGTCTATCGTTGATATCAGCCCGCCGTTTGCACGGTGTAGCACGCATGCATGCTGTTGTCAATTGTTGCCGTGGTCTACAAGCGCCACCTTTCGCTGTGTGGTCGGTTGCCTCTCGTGTGCATGGTCCCTTGCGCGCTTGCTAACAGCAGCAGCAGGCATTGTCGCAGCATGGTGCACCTATCTGTACTTGGTTTTGTTATCTTAATGGTGTGGTGGTGCTGCAAGTCATGACAAGAAGCGACAACATGTCGATGCTTTGTTTTTTTTTTGTGGGGGAACACTTTGGTGTTTAGGTCTCCACTTGCTACACTCATCCATATGGTCGTCGTCGACATCACCTATCTGTTTGTGCCTTCTTGCGTTCTGTTTGGAGAGATTGGGATGGGGTCAAGGTGGGATTAGTGTCCACGTTTTTGGCTGACATGAAGGTCAAGAGGGGAGGGGAGGGATGGGGGGGATAATATAAACACATGATGTGAGAAAAAAAAAAGCTATCGGCCGCCAGCTGTGAACGGCGACAGCGTTTGTCTCTCCCGCCGCCGCCGCCGCCGCTGCTGATGCGGGCGACCCAGCCGAAACAACAGCAGCCACATGGCATGTTCATGAACCCGGCTGAGTCTCACTGAAGGACTGCTGTTACTAGGCTTGTGGACGGCCGTCCGAGGGCCTGGTCTCGTTGGACGATCCTTATTCTCCCTTCTTCATGTATATATAAGCCACAACCACCTGATGGTAGCAAGTTTGGTTTTTGTTAACATCTGTGAGAGTAAAAAAAAGGAAATAAAATTGTCCTCCCTTTTTTTGTCATTGCGCTTCGCCCCTCCCTGTGATTGCGTCCGTACACCTTAAACACCTAACGCCACCAAGTAGAATATTAACATTTTTGTCTTATAGGCAGCTAGATAGACACAGCTCGTCCTTGCTTTGTATTCCCGCGCCAGCTAGGGCCTTCCCCCGCCCGGCAACACACTGCTGCAAACTTGTGTTCGTGTTTGAATCAAAAGCGTGCGTGTCGAACTGCAAAATCGCGTAATTCAACATCTCTAATGTCCGATTTGTCCACAGGTTCATTGTTGCGGTTGTTGTTTTCACATTATTACCGTTCCGGTTTCCGCTCAGTCCCTTCTCTCCGACTGACTGCTTGCTCTGTGTAGACGATCTATGCCATGCACACGTCTGTCTGACGTCCCCCGCCATCGTGTTGACTTGTCCGCGCGAAGACAAAACAGGGCAGGAAGTAAACAAAGCGCATAAATGTGAAGCCCCGGTCCGGCGCGGTGGCCACGACGGGACGATCCGATCGAAGCCAATATCGAAGCTTGTCAAAGCAGCCTCTCGAAAAATACTGACTCCCCAGCCCCGTCAAAGGAGATCCCTTCAAAACCTTTTTGTGAGCTCCCTTTTGTACCCTCTCGGGGGAGAGAACCACCTTAGTTTCACCGCATCTAATCGCAAACACCCAGCAGAAGAGCACCTCGCTGCTCGCAGCAACTAACAGAGACCAGTCTAGAGCATCAAACGGCCAGGAAACCCGCGACTTGCTCATCATGGCTGGCGATCGGGCCCAGGCTATGACGGCCAGAGCTCTGGAAAACCTCTCCAACGTCCCGGATTTAGAGGAATCGTTGGCCGGCGGTTCTGCTCTTGCGTATGGTGGCCCTGTCCCGCGAGTGCCCAGCCGCGGTAAGAGAACTGCTGTTGCAGGAGGAAGAGCAGGAGCAGGAGGAAGAGGGGCTGGGGGAATTCTACCTCTCTCAGGACCGTCATCGTGTAGAGGAGGAGGGCCCTCCATCCCTCCAACACAAAGGAGCGCCGCAACAATGTCCTTGCCAGAAGCATCAACAGCGGGTGCCCCGAGATCATCGTCAATTCCGGGTAGAGACCGCGCTGCTCCTGCCCCCGCCCGGCCGCGACCGCCTCCGAAACGCGGGCCCGTCGTGCTGCTCCAGGGAGTCCGGGCGGAGGCAGCGAAGAAGGCCCTCGCGCTAAATCTCAAGCTCCAGACAGCTCTGCGGAAGGAGCTCAGTGTCGTGGACGAGTTCTTGCAACGAAACAAAGAGGTGTTTTTGTCGTGGCAGGGAGGGAAACACTGGTCTAAACGCCCGCAGTCGGGTGTGCCAAAACGAGGTTGAGATTGATTGTGTCTCGACGAAAGCTTGAAAAGCAAGACGCCGTTCAAGACAATCCGGTTCAGCTGTTAGTGCTATCTACATACATCTGGTCAAATCCAACCGAAGGATGTGTGGTGCAGAAATCCACAAGGTTGCAGGCATAGACATGCACCAACAGTGTGGCGTGCATCGCTTTCTACCTTCCTCACGCTCGCCCGCAGGCGTGAGGGTTGGCATGCTAGTCGGCGCAAGGTGTGCCCTGGGGTTCTTCACCTTTTCCCGAACACCTGTAAATTTACTCGACAATCAATGGCTGATGTATTTCCCGGTCTGTCCTCTCTCGTTCCTCTTCTCAACCAGTCTGGTGAATCCAGGGTCTCACAGAAAGCTTCGTTGACCCCTCGTAAAACAAAGTGTGAGAGCGGTATTTGGAAGCGATACAACTGTGTATGTAGGGCGAGAGAGGAAAGTACAGTGACATGTCCATTCAGTCTGCTTTTGGGGAAGACCAGAAGTATCGCGTATGCACCATCCATCACGTACGGCTCTATTTTGTTTTCGTGCCCTTGTTATTATCCTGTACTTTGGGTGTCGCTTTGTTTCTCTCGATCCCCGTGCACGGTACTTAGGCGATTATGATTCATAGTTTTTGTGGTTAGTCTTTTGACCAATGAAACGCCTGTGCGGTACTACTAATTGTGATCCCCTAGCACTTCACAACTCCAAACAAATGTAATACTGCTGTTTGTTCGTTCGTTGTCCCCACCCTATGTATACTTTTTTCTCCTCCGTCAGATTCTGAAGGCCGCCGAGGAGCGGCTGTCCTCTCGGAGGTGCATGGGCATCACCACCAGCACCGAGAAGTTCAGGTGGTCCAAGGCCGTCAGCAAGTTCCTCTCGGTCAACGGACACCCGGGGAAGCTTGGCCTCCACAAGGAACAGGAGACCATGCTCCGCAGCGATCCCATCCCATGGCAGAGCCGGGATATCAAGGTGTGAGCGACAACAACAGAACAGGAATATGTGTATAATGTACCATGCCGGAAGGATGCCAAGGTCCGCACAGCAGGGGGATCAACCGGTTTCTAAAGGTTGAGCGCGCCACGACCAGGAGGGCACCAAACGGACGAACAAGTGGTAGTCCTTTGGAAAAGTCTCGTTGAGAGCTCGATGGTGTCCGACAGAACAGAACACGCGGGGAGTATGCTACCACGTGGTATTGTTGGAGTCTTGTCCCCTTGCGAGTACAGCAGTTAAATAGTCCGGACCCTGTCCTTCACGTTCTCCCCACACGGAGCTCCATGACTCGAAAGCGTGTTCGCTTTCTTTGTCTCGCAAAAGACTGGCGTACTTTCATACGTCAGTCAGTTAGCATGATTGATGCTAAGTTCCAGGACACCTCACACACACGGAAATTAACTTGAAAAACAAGCCGGCCTTGGTTGCTGGGGATTATTCCCGTAGACTCCCCGGAAGCACCCGACGGTGTGGAACGAGTCCCATTTCCGCGTCCTGTCCGTCGAAGCGCTCGTCACACATGACACGAAGCTGCCCATCCCCACCCGATTGTGCACGGGTGATCGAAACTGTGGGAACAATGCTCCGTCCTCTCGAGAACGCCTGGCCAATGGTCTAATCACCAAAGCGCGCAAAACACAAGACTACACCCCACACCCCACCCGTTCACCAACACCAACCATGCACACGAAAAAAACAGGCCCTGCTGGACCACATTTCCGCGGAGTATCCCGAGGCGGTCAGCCCCGTCACCGCCGAAGAGGCCCTCCGCAAGATCGACTGGGAGAAGGCGGCCCGCTCGGTTGACCAGACCACACATCGAAGCATCAAGCGGCAGCGGTTGCGCCGCGTCCGCACGGCCGAGGAGTGCCGCGTGAGGTGAAGGGGGGGGGGTGTGCTCATAGTCGTGCATGCCGCAGTCGTTAGACCATTGACCTCGCATCCCTACAAAGCCGGGACGGAGCACGCCGGGTTCTCACCGGACCAGGCTCTCACATCACCAAGCGCGAAGCGCCGTGAG